AATGTTAATCTTATACACTGGTTGTACTAAGGCATGTAAAACCAATCCATAGCATTCTAAGACACTTTTATGAGCTTAAAAGCATCTTGTCAGATCTATTCAAATTGTATGCATGTGGGAGAATTGTGCTCATGACTGTTTTTAGAGTTTGAGATCATCCTCTACAGATGTGCCAAGGTACTCTCAGTAATCTGTTAAAGATAAAAAATACTTCCAAAATATGCAAAGATTCTAATTACTTAAGATGTGACAGGATTTAGAGAGGGAATGGCTGGTTACAGAATGTTGATACTTACTGTGGATTAAGAGGGTAGACAGTAGGTCTACCACCTTTCTAATAAGGGGAAAAGCAGGCTGTCAGCCTGCTGACTTCAGAGAGTAGCTGACAATGAGGGGTAGTTATTCCAAACAACTGCAGTGAAAAAAATCTCAGGGGCTGTGGAAAAGGAAGACTGAGTTGTTGAGAAGTCTGTGTGCCACCTTTGGTGGGAATTCACATATTTCTACAGCTCTTCAGGATATGCCTTCATGTACCATTATCACATCTTGTTTACTCTGGTTTCTTGCTTATCTGTAAACTTGGGGTCATCCATTCCCTGTAATTCATTCTTGCCCTAACAATTACAGGGTCAGGAGTATAATTTAGTGGCATAGTACAAACTCTGGGTTCAATCTCCAGCACAACAACACACATACACACAATCAGAGGTCACACACACATACACAGAGTCAATAATATGATATGCCTACTAAAAATCAGTGAGACGATTGTGGTCAGTATCAAAAAAACATAAATCAGATTAAAAGAGATAATACTAACTCCACCTTATATTAGTCAGAATACACTTGAATATTTTGTTTCATTGTCAGGGCTACATTTGAAGAGAACAGACAAAACATCCAGTGACTTTGAGGGTCAAATTTTATAAATACCATTTATTGAGAGAATTAAAAATTATTTTGCCTAAGCAGCATTTTGTGACAGTTTGTGGACTATCTTGAATGCTTGTGTTAAAATTTTAGATTTATAGGATCCACTCAATATCTATTGAATCAGAATATCAGTGTATCAGACCAGAAATCTATATTTTTAACCTGTTCCTTGGGCAATTCTGTTATACATAAAAGCTTGAAAACTAATGATTTAGAAAGAAAATGTAAAGTCTTTCAAAATGTCCAAGTGTTCTTATACGGAAAAAGATAAACATTAGTTTTGTGTTGCCCAGGAAGGCAGAATTTGGATGAAAGAAAGAAGGAAGAAGAGTGGATGAAAGTTATGGCAGAAAAGTGTTCTGATATGAGAAAGACTATTGAAAATAAAATTAGAGGTTTAAGGCATAACTCAGCATCAAAAATGTAAACAAACAAAAAACCAATTAGATATGGCTATCAATAGGATTCATCATGGCCCAAGATAATTCATTCCTGAAGTTTTACCATGACCTCCAAAGTTGATGATCCTTATGTCTCATCATTCCTTTAATTAGTACACATTTGTAACTAACTACTGTGTGCTAAACACTATTCTAGGTTGGAGAGATACTGGTCAGCGGACAACAGTGTTTCCTGACTTCATGAAATTTCTAATGTAGTGCAGAAGGAAAAAAAGTACAATTATAGAGTGTTGGAAGTGGCCGTTGTGATGGAGGATATACAGTACACAGTGCTAAGGAACACAGAGGAGGGTATTTACCTGGGCTTGGAGTCAGGAAAAGCTTTCTGGAGGAGGGAATATCTAAACCAAGAACTAAAGTATTAACAGGAACTAGCAAAGCAAAAAAGAGAGATGAGCCAGTGCAGAGACTAGAAGACAAGGGACAGATGGCCCCTTACAGCAAATAAAGTTCATTTGGAATGGCTGGAACAAAATGAGACCAATAGCAATGTGGGACTATTGGAAGTTTTTAAGAAAAATATCATGATTAAAATTTCAATATCCAAATACCATTTTGCAGTGAAGAGGAAGTATTAGGAGGCAAGATTAAAGGGGTGGTGATAGATACAGAAGGATTTTTGTCAAACATGAACAATGATGCATGCTTGTAATCCCAGCTACTCAGGAGGTTGAGGCAAGAGGATTTCAGGTTAAAGCTAGCCTAGGCTACATAGCTATACCCCTTCTCAAAAAACAAGTAAAAAAAAAAAGAGAGAGAAAAAAGAAAGAAAGGATTGGGGATGTAACTCAGTGGTAAAGTGCATGCCTACTATATGTGGGGCCCTGGATTCAATCCCCAGTACCACACACACACACACACACACACACACAAGGTAATAGTTCAGGGGAAAGACAATACTATGTTGCTTGATGAGTGAAAGAGCACTAGAGATGGAGAGAAGCAAATTATTTGAGTAATACTGAGAGGATATCATTGATAGGACTTGATCATGGACTGAAGCAAGAGTCAAAGAGAGGCAGGAGTCAAGAATGACTCTCAGGCTTATGGCTTAAGCAGCTGGTTGAATGGTGGGATCACTCAGTGAGAAAGGGGAACAGAGAAGGAGGCTTTACTCAGGGAAGATGGTCATGATGAGTTTGGATTTGACTATAGAGAATTCAAGCAGCCTCTAGAGCATCCAGATGCAAAATGAAATAGTATGTGAAGCAGGAAAAGAATTTGAGACAGAACTATAAATTTGCAAGTCATCAGCTTTTGAAATTTGTGTAAGTGGATAAGCTCACCCAGGGAGAATATATTAAGTGAGAAGAGGAGCTTTGAAAACTTACAATTAAGCTATGAGATGAGAAAGAAAAGCCTACAAAGAACAGTGAGAATGTCCAGATTTGTAATTTAAATTCTTGTATTGCTTTTGGTTTGTGAGCCAGTGAACCATAATAGAGTATACATTAAAATGGACCTATTGTCCCATTTCTCTGCTGTAATTTCTGATAATTTCCTTAGTGTGCAAGCTGTCTTTTTCTCTATCAGTAGCTATGTTCTGGAATCCCATCTGCTTAGTGCACAAATATAGTGCCTAGAACAGGGTGAAAGTCCCTAAACAGTGGCTGTCTAGATTATCATGATGTCTTGTTGCTTTTGGTTCAGGAGTATCTAGCACCTCAGCTCACAGTTTAAATGTAGTTTACAGTTCCAAGTGGACACTATTAATCCTGGCTTTCTGTTTTTGGTTTTGTCTTTTTGAGACAGGGTCTCACTATGTAGTTCAGGCTGGTCTTGAGCTCACTGTGGAGTCCAGGCTGGCCTTGAACTTGCGGGAATCCTCTTACCTCAGCCTCCTGAGTGCTGGGATTATAGATGTGCACCACCATGCGTAGGCCTTGCCTTGGTTTTTTGCATAATAAAATTGTGGGGGGTTTCCTTTGTTTTGTTTTGTTTTGTACCAGGGATCAAACTCAGGTTCTAGCACATGTGTTGCAAGCGGCAGACCACTGAGCTAAATCCCTGGCCCCATTCCTTGTATTTCTATAACCATGATTCTGACTTTATCTAGACCAAGAAGAAGAATAGAAATTAAAATTTTTAAATTATCTCAGGAGGCTGACATGGGAGGATCAAACGTTCAGGGCCAGCCTAGACAACTTAGCCAGAGTCAAAAATTATAAAAGGGCTGGGGATGTAGCTCAGTGGTAGAGTACTTTGTTAGCATGCACAAGGCCCTGGATTCTATCCTCGGCACTTCAATAATAATAATAACCACAATAATAATCTCCTATAATTACATTTAAATTAAATCCTGAATATGTATAATTCAGCATATCAGGAGCTACAACATTTACAACCTTCATGATAGTAATCTTTGAAAGTGCTGCTGTAAAATATAACTAAAAATAAAATGAAGATGAACCAATAAAAAAACCACATATTTTTTAGTGAGTTTTAAATGTGCTCACCACAAAAAATAAAAAATATGTAAGGTAAAGGATATGTTAATTGGCTTGATTTTAACATTCCAAAATATATACATATATCAAAATATTGTATTACACACCATAAGTATATATAATTTTATCTGTCAATTATAGCACTTTCAATCCAAAAACTTTAAAAAATAACAAGAAAACATGGTACAGAATTTACTAAAAGAAAACCCTGTTACCCAAAATCAAAACTGATGAAGAGCAAGTTTGATTTCATCATCTTTTATACATAAGATATGCTCAAATCCTTAGGAGGCAAAAGCAGAGGATCTGGAAATTATGATGATGTGAAATGAACTAGTCAAAGATGGATTTGAAAAATTGCTTTGTAAGCCCCAAGGCAGAGAATGAGTCATTTACCAGCTGTCTTCCTGTTTTTGTAATGTATCTGCTGGGTATTTGCGGTAGAGATGAAAACAAATAATAATATTTCCAATATAGGTGAAATTCTGAACAAGTGGCCTAGATAAAGATAATTAATATGGTAAGACAATAAATAATGTTATACAACACTTTGCTGAATTTTGTATATTTAATGTTTTAATCTCTAAAAGGACACAGAGCAGCTCATTGAAACGGAACTTATTTGTCTAGGCCTAATAATGAGAAAATTTTTAATTTTCTCAAAGGTACGGATAATTTAAGTGGCTGAAGAAAAGACATAAATTTTTGATGGTATCTTGATTAGTCAATGTCATAGATCAGCTTTAGAACTCTGTTATAAATGCAAAATTGAAACCCATGTTTATAAACTTATTGAAATATTTGAGAATTACTTGATAACATATGAAAATATCTAATTATTGTACAATAATTAGAGAAGTAATCCTAATTTGCCCTCTCCTTAGAACTGAATTCACTTCATAACCTTTAATTAAAAATATTTAAGAAGACAAAATATGTATTATGGTAAAAAATGATAGCATAATTATATTCCCACAATATATCAAACCTCTTCATAGACAAATAGCTTTCATACATCTATCAACTGTATTACATTATGAATTCCTGTCAAAGAAAATCCTCCCATAAACATAAATTGATTTTAAATACATTGTTTTAGGGTATGTATAGCAACAACAAAAAAACTACAAGAATACATCACATGCAGGATTACACTTACCAAATGAAAGGGTGCAGGCAGAAATTAGTCTTTCTCTCCAAGATTTAATGTCTCTCCTTGCTGAGGAGGAAACAATAAGCAATTCTCTCTTTATCTGCCAGTCCAATCAGTTCAATTTAAGCCTTACTGTCAGAGCTAACTAACATTGAGGAAATTATCATGTTCTGCACTGTTAGGTCTTTCACAAAAATGACTGAGGCAGAGTGCAGAGGAAAATTAAACAAAAATGTGTAGCTAAATGCTGTCAAGAAGTCTCTGATAAATTAAGGCTAAATCCCACTTATTTGTGACAGAACCAATTCTGGAAGTCTGCAGATACCTGAAATATATTAAAAGAACCACGTTTTTCTACCCATCTGATTAGGCGGTGGAGTGCCTTTTAGTGTCCATGGTAACTCCCATAGAGTGGCTTGGAGATTCATCATTAAAAGGCTTGCACTTTAAAATATAATGGTGGGTAGGTAATGTTCAGTTTCTGAACTTCAAGTTTAAACTGTTCTCTACCTTTAGCAACATATTGTCAGAGAGATTTATATGTAAAAACTAGGCAATGTTTTAACCCACAACAATATAAATTCTCAGGAATTACAAAGGATAATTCATGGTTATAGCATTACAAAAAAAGAATACGAAAGTATTTGGAAACCTAAAATGGTCTCACAAAATATCACTATAGATAATGTTGTAATCACAAAAATGTAAATAAAGAAAAAGGGGAAAAGAACTTCCTCTCAATTTTTTTCTCTTATTCAAAAGGAATATAATGTTACATTTTTTACTTCAAAAATTCTGACAGTTTTTGGTTATCCTTTCAGCATTAAGAAAATAACTAAATTGAGGTGGGAGGAAAGACTCAGTTTAGTGGGTTGAAACTAAAGAAATGTCTTGGTTCCTGCTTATAATCTTTCCTTGGCAGGCTTCATATTACAATTTGAGAAACTGGTAAAATGCATGGAAATACTTCAGTGGTTGCTTGAAAGCCTGTTAATCAGTGAGTGAAGTCAGTGAGACATGACTAATCCCAGAGGAATAGCTTTTGAATATACCTCAGGGTGATACCTGGCAGAAACTCAGGAGGTATTTAGCTAAAATCAAGAATATGAAAGTCATACTCCTTGGGTGATTTAAAATGTATTTAAATATACATTTAAAAATAATAGTCTGTCTCCATGTGAATTGTACTCAGTCAACAAAAACACAACACATTCACAGAGTTTTTGGATGAGGTTAGAAAATGTTATGGCCTGAACTCAAAAATTAAAAGAATCAAAAAAACATGGAGGGCTGGGAATTTAGCTCAGAGGTAATGCACCTGCACCTGCCTTGCAAGCGCAAGGTCCTGAGTTAGATCCTGGTAAAAAAAAAAAAAAGCAAATGGATAAAATTAACCACATGGGCAAATGTCCTCAGGAAAATAAACTGTAAAAGATGATTTCTGAGGATTTTGTCAATTGGAACAGGAGTAGCTAAGTCAGAAGCATCTCCTAGGAAGGCATCAATTTTAAATACAATAAGGAACTACAATCAATGGCTATGAGGAGGAAGAATTGAAATAGTGGGATGAGGTGGTATTTTCTTTTTTTTTTGTAATGCTGAGTACTGAACTTAAAAGCTTCTGCATACTTTACCACAGAGCTACATCCCCAGCCCCCACCTTTTTTTGTCTCACTAAATTGCCCAAGCTACCTTCAAACTAGCAATCTTCCCAACTAACTGGGATTCCAGGTGTGTGCTACCAAGCTTGACACAAAAACAGAAACAAACCAATATGATGTCTGACAGAGTTCTATTAAAGCAAGAAACTCAAAGTATAGCAATTTGACCATTTCTCCAGTGCCATGCAAGAGGGAGGATTCCATTCTTGGAAACTCCCTCCGTATAGAGGCAAAGGATACATCTAACTATTATAGTTGTATTGCAGTAACCCATTGAAATAATCCAGCTCTTCCTACTATCTCTGTATTTAGTGTATTTTTATCTGACACTAGGGGTTTTCAATGTGAACGTTGCCTCCCAAATCTCTGATAATTAAACTCTGTGTTTATTATGACTACCTCTCCCACCAACATTTGGTTACCCTGTAAAGTACAGCATAAGCAACCAGCTAAGTCTCTTTCTGTGTTATTTTATGTAAAATATGAGTATACTTGAACTGCTGCTCTGTCACTGAGAAGAGACTTGCATAACTGCATTTTAAAATATTCAACTCAATGTTAGCTCTCCCCCCACCCCCTTAGCACTTTGACTTTATGTCCCTCTACTTTTTTTTCTCCTCTTGTTACGGAAGGAATCTGTAAGTGACACACAGAGAGGCAGCAGAATGGAAGTAAAGTAACAAATTTACTCATCGATAAGGGTCGATCACACATAAACCATGCTTGAATCAACGATGCACTGGGTTACAACTCCTCCTTTTATAGGGTTTCACAGCCATGACTTCATTTGGGTGGTTACATTTCATTCTCATAGTTCAAATCATGGTCACAGGATAGTTAATTTTCAACCCAGATGTAATAATTCTTTGCAGTTGGGAAGTTTGCCTTTAACATTTGCCTAGTTATCTATTCTAGTCCATAGGAAGGGGGGTGTTCAGGGTCAGGGGATCAAATGTTAGCAATGGGTTCTTTCATCTAGACACTTTTGCGATCATGTGGCTCCAGTCTCTTCCGAGCTCAAGACTTTGATGTGCTTTTGATTTGATCTCAGGGTGAGACCAAATGTGTCATTCAGCAATTAGTGCCTTTGGTGCCTATTAGTTTTGAGCTAAACAAAACAAACTGCTATTAGAGACAACAGAAGCCATTTTACATTGTAACACTTTATAGGTTTTTGCTGTTTATAAAAGTTTTCCATGTCATTCCTCCCTTTGTTTGGGGGTAACTCCTTACCCCTCATTGTATTTATACCAATTTTTATTATTCTGCTTAATTAATTAACATCTACTGTTGAGCAGTAGCTATTCTCTGATGTATGAGTTTTGATATCCATATTACCATACAGGGACCAAACATGAGCACAGGCATTATTACAATAATTGGTCTTGCAAAGGAGCTAAGCCAAACAATCCATCCTGACATGGCCAAAATTGAATGTTGCGTCCTCAATACCAAACTCTTTTCCTAGCAGTCTAATATGATCTTTTAATTTATCTAATGATTTTTAACTATTTCAGATTTGTTTGTATAGTAACAACACTTCTCTCCCAGAAACAGACAAGTTTCTCTTCTTTGCAGAGTGAGAAAATCAAGGGCTCTTTTATTTTGTAACACTATATTAGGTAATGAATCTAACTGAGTTTCTAAAGTTTGGATTGTATCTCGCATTTTTTAAAGTCTTTTCTAATCTCCTGTCCCAAAGCCACGAACTGTTGTTGTTCTAACCTGAGAGCTGTAGCACTTAAGAATGAGGCTCCCTGTTATAGTTAATCCTGTTAATATGGGGAGGGCAGTTGGGTCCTTTTTTTCTTACCAAACCATTCATTGTAGCAATTTGTAAAGTCATCTTTTTCATAGCTGAAGGAGTATAGACAGGCAAATTGGGGATTAAGATCCCCAGAGCACATAAACCAATAGAACACTTTGAAGTCACCTTAAAAACACCATTTTCATAGAGAAAGTTCCATTTGAGGCAGAATAAATTACTAGTGGCAGATAGTAATAAATTAAAAAAATGATTGCAAGTCCCATTTTTAATTACATCTAATGGGTAGCTGAGCAAAGGATATATAGTAAGGTTTACTGGCTCTACGGGCAGGCCATTCATGATGCCAATTGCTTGGTAAGTCATCACAGTGAGTGGTGCACAAATCCAAAAATCAGAGACTAATTTCTTTCTGGTCTGTCTATAGCAGCACTGAATGAGCACCATCAACCAAATCTATCATATCTATATCTATTTCTTTATACTTTTGGATGCCCTTTTAAGATATTCTGTATTTCCTGCAGTGCATGAGTTTTCCCTATTTCTGGAGGAGGGGCTTTCCAAACCTTTTTAATCTATAGAATCCATCATTTTAACTTTTGAGTCCCATGCCTAGCAGTTGACTGATACCCAATATAAACATAAAAAATTATTTCCTGTAGTCAGCTCATTCCTCAAGGCCAAGCTATATACAATTTAAAAGGCTATATACATTTTACATTGTCCCTGTTTATAATTATCACAATTGCCAATACTTTTGGGTTACAACAGAACTGTTTAACCATATTTGAGCTTTGTCTGACCCAATACATCTTTTTGAGTATATTTCACACAGTCAAGTATGGTACCTGGGTTTTTATAAAGTTCTTTTGGACAGGCATCGAAAAGAAGCATGAGGGGATGTCCCTCCCATTCCCATTTAACAGTTTTAAAGGTCACATATTTTTATCAAACTTAGCATCTTTAGGCTTATAAACTCTTAATTCACAAACACAACAGCTCATAACAATTTGACACAATAAAAGAGTTCATAGTATCTTGATTGCAGTCCTCATTCTTTAGCCATGAATGGACTCACCAGCTCCCGGTGTGGTGAGGGCAGGGCCTTGTGTGTGCTGTCTACTGGAACTGCAGTCCATGGAGTTTTAGGTTGGTTCACTCTAGAGTGGTGAATCCACGGTTGGTCTTCAGTCACCTTGACAACTGTAGGAGTAACTATAAGTGCCTGATAGGTCATTTTCATATAGGCTGCAAAGGGGTCTTTTTGCAATTTTTAACATAAACTCAGTCCCTGGTTTTATCAGATGGTCAGGAGTTAGCACAGGAAGGTCCTCTTTATTTCTAATTTGCCCTAGAATATTTTGGAACGCTTTGCCCAATTTTAACAGCTGTAATTCCATACTGGATGAGCCCAATTGAGATACATTTCCCATAAAGTCTCTTAAGACACAGGGTGGCCTTCCAAACAAGACCTCATATGGGGAGAACCCAGTATGACTTGGAGCATTTCTTATTTTAAGGAAAGCCAAGGAGAGCAGATCGGCCCATAACCCTGGTGTTGTCCGACAATATTTAGTTAATATTTTCTTAATGGTATGATTTATTTTTTTAACCTTACCAGAACTCTGAGGCTGAGAAGC